CACACCCCCCCCCCAAAACATACACACTCGAAAACAGTCTCCAGCAGCAGCTACAACCAGGATCAGTTCCAGTGTCAATGGGCCACCCCCATCTCGAGCATGGGGGAACATTGCAGGAACTTCCTACCACCACAGCAGACAGTGGTTAGCAGTCCTCTGCCAAACCCTCAGCAGCCCAGGAGACAAAGGCACAGGCTACAGTAACCTACGCGCAAACATCCAAAGAATAATCTCCAGCGGACATTAGCTAACTGGAGCAGGGCATCTTACGTGAGCAGGCAGGGAACCATGTACCTCTGGAGCAAGGAGAACAAGAGATGCAGTGCTGTGACCTCTCACAGGGCTGCATGCTGCCCTCCAGCAGCTTCACAAGGCTCTGGTCAGTGTGCCAGGAAGCATTCTGGTCAGTGTGCCAGGAAGCATTCCCATCCAAGGAAGGAAACCTACAGGGTATTAACCGGCTACCATCCACCATGCTTCAGAAGGCAAGTCACTTCGGACAGAGACTTGAAAGCTGAGTCTGTTTCTTTATTCCAAGCAGAGATAGACAAGCACAGCCAGCACTAGAGACATCACGGATTCAGAACAGATTGCCCTGTCTCCCCCAGCTCTTCTTGTCTCTCCAGCAGAAGTTTGGGTAATCCAACAGAGACAAGCAGCTCTTTTTTCCAAGCGGGGAAATTAACAGTGCAAAACAGATTCCAGTACAAAGTCAGCCTCCCAACACAGGCCACCAACAGTCTCCCTGAAGGCCCAAATTGGATGCCAGTGTATTTCCCACCATCATAGGGACAGGCTATCTTCTCATCTTCAGCTCAGGAAAGGACAGCAACTGGCTGGAAGCTGAAGCAAAGCGAAGGCTACCTCAAAGCAGGGCCAATGCTGTCACTGACAGAAGCAGCACAAAGGATGTGAGCATACAAAGAAGTCACATACACTGTTGGAAGCCCTTTAACTCACTTACAGTCTCAGCACAGACTTCTCTTCACCCTCTCCCTGCATGGAATCCAAGCACACACGGAAGCATCCTTCACCAGGAGCATGGGACAGGCAAAAGTCTTCTACAGACAGCAAAATTTCCAAATCAAACAAAAACAAAAACAAAACAAAAAAACAAACATCCAATCCCCAAAAGCAAAATAAAACAACTCCCCCCAATTCATGCTACAAAGAGCTGGCAGAAAAGTCAGGGGCACCAGGCCAGCAGCTCACCACTGCTTAGGGACTGACACTGCTTATTACGTTTAGGTTCCCTTCCCTGCTCCAAACACTCTGAGCCAGAAGGACAGTCGCTCCTGGCACCAATTTCAAAAAGATCCTGCAATAAAAATAAATCACTCAGCCTTTCAGTAACCGTCAACGCGTTTCCCCATGCGCACGTGCATGAGAGGAGGTCGCCAAATACCAAAGGCATCTGACCCCTGCACTGGGAATTCCAGCAGCGCCCGCTTTGTTCTGCCTCCAGAGCGTTGCCCTAATCACAGCCCTGTACCCAGCTTTGGAGAGCAGGTGATAATTAAGCAGGTCTGGATTAGATACCAGGCCAGTGTTTAGTCGGATACCAATTTTCACTTGACAGCTGAGACCTAGGAATCACTCACCACAGCTCTGAAGCTAAAATTGGAATCAAGCCCTGCACGCAAGAGGGAGAAACCAGTAGCAGTGGGAGGAGCAGCACCAACTCACCACTGCACCTCACATCCCTGGTGTCCTCCCAGCAGTGCAGTACAAGTAGGCGAGACGGTGAGGGAGGGTTGGTCCCATCACGAGAGAAACGGGCCTTTCTGCGCTCCCTAGCCTGGAAAAGCAGAGGTGGCTGAGCAAAGCACAGATAAGCAAAACAATCACACTTTCACCAAGTGCCTTCTCATCAGGCAGAAAAAATTCAAACTCTCAGGCACTCCAGGATTACGTAAAGAAGAGGAGACAGAACTTCAGGCCAGGTGCTGAGGACTTACCTGAACGCATAAATTGCACTGGTTTAACTAAAATTGCTTTGAAAAGAAGTTTAAGTTAAACTTTAGCATGTTTCTGTGGGAACGTCTTTCTATTGATAAAATATGAGTAACATCGATTACAATCAAAAATTGAGTCAAAAGAAATCACATTTCAACTGATAAAAGAATTTCCTCCGAGTTGCACCAGTCATCTGGCCAGAGGTAAAGTGAAACCCGTAGCTCAGCTGGAGCAAGCACGCACGCGCACAGCTCCGGTGCCCACAGAAAGGTACATTTCTCACGACGGACCTCAGGCAAGAGGAAACACTTTACACATCACCTAAGCTGGCAAACCATGAGCTACCACACACCATCGCTGCAGTTGTTCCTTCCCTGCTGCACAGGTCCCCAGGAGAAGCTACAAGACCCATATTGCAGCACTTCTACAGATCTAACTGCTCTGTTACTCTAAATTCTACACGGACGCTTGACCAAGAAGCTCATAACATCAAGCAGACAGGACAAGGCACAGTAGCACTGCTAGAGTTTTCATTTTACAGCTGAGAAACAAAAAGGACAGAAATTAAAAAGCTTGTTCAAAGCCCCATGGAAAGCCCGCAGATGGCTTGGTGGAGAACATGCATCTCACAGGTAGTCAGAGCACTACACTGATTTAAGACTCTCTTCCCTCTGACCAGCACAAAGAGATTTCTCACCTAGAAACCGTTAGATAAGGAAAGGCTCAAACTGTAGAACAAGCCCCTTCCTCCTCTAACCGGGGCAAGGTTATCAGGCTGAGGATATTTCCACACTTCACAGTGAAGCATACATCCACACCAACTAGCTCAGGTCCAAGAAGAGCATGCCTACATCTGTGCACCCCGGTGCGTCCACCATCAGTCTGCTCAGCTCCACCCTGGCTGGCTGTGTGATTCCCTCCATGTGCTTCCAGCTCTAGGATTAGCAATACACAAAGCTAACTAGGGTACAAATATCTGCACCCTGTATCACTGCTCTGCACAGCTGAGTTCAGACTGGATTCTACAACTATTTGCTGCTACAAGCTGGGTAGACCGGGCAAAGAAACACTGCAGCCTTCCTGCTGCTCACAGCTCCTCTCCCCATGATCAGGTCCATGAATTCTTCTAGCTTTCCCCTCCTTCCCACCTACAGGTGACACCATTCTGTGGTCCTCTTAATTTGAGACTGGGCACTTTGACTAGCATTAGCTTCCTGCACAGCCTGGCAATTCCACAGCCACTCAAGGAAGCCTCAGTTCACATTTCCAAGGAGATGTAAACACTGAAATGGCTCCATCACAGCCCTGATTCTCAGAGCAAACAAATATTAACAAGATAAACAAAAGAAAGAAAAAATCCCACACACCAAGCCTGCGGCTGTAATACCGCCTTGGGGATGGGGTGAGCTGAATGGAATGCCAAACTAGAAATGCACAACTTGGAAAAAAAAGGAGGAAGAGGGAAAAATCGATTTAATCCAGGCAAGAGAGGTGAGACAAAGTGTCAGATCAAATCTTGTTCCAGCTGACCCTGGGAGGAGGTGAGATGCCTCCATTCCTGACAAGAGATGAGAAGAGAACTTAACCTCATGCCACAGGGGCCCTGCAAAACGTCCGAGCACTAAGGAAAAGCATGCGCTGTCGGATTTGCGGGATTTCCTCCCCGTTGATCAGCTGCCACCGGGCCAGCCAGCACTAGCAGCTCATCTCTTCCACGAAGGGGCTGTATCCTAAGTACCGCTCCCAGACACTACCCAACTGGCAAAAAACAGACCAGCTCAGAAAGCATCAGCAAAAGCCATGCCATCCCCCATGCAGGGCAGAGGGCATCTTGAGGAAAGAGGCTGGGGGGATAAGGGCATATGAATGCAATGCCCTCCTTGGCGCACAGCTTCTGAATACAGCCATCATCGATCTCCTACTGGTTCTTACTAATCGCTCACACATCTATAGGCCTTTACCAAGCAGTTGACGTGCTTCCTGCCCTTCCGTCCCTGTCTCTCCCCACAGACCAACTGATTGCTCCCTCCTGGACACCAATTACCAGGGGTTCCTGAAATATCTCAAGTGCTGCCTGGGGCCTCAGGGCTCCCTAGAGACAATGCTGCAGCTGAAATGGTTTGGCAGCATCTTCTCTCTTTTCTTTGGCTCTCTGGAAAGGAGGTGGAAAGACTCGAAGGCATCGTTCCTGATGGGGCATCTCTAGCACCACTGTGAGGGGCTTGCCTCCCTCTGCTCCAAGCAAGGCCTCTGCATCTACTGCTCCAACTAGATAATTCATCATACAGGGCTTCACCAAGGAAAAGGTTCCCCACACGCGGCCTCAGGGCTTAAAAGGCCTTCCAGATACAGGCGGTAGACTACGTTCACCTTCTCTTCCAGAGTCGCTAATTTGTCCCAGAGGAATTAGTTAAGTTTGTCCTAACAGAATCTCATCTCATACATTCCTGCCACATCTAACCTCACCGGGTCTTCCTGAATGATTTCTCTCTCCCAACTGGTACTCACAATAACTCCCTGCACTGCTTTATCTTTGAGTGTCATTAATCTACCATCTGCCTCCTCTTGTGGAGCCTTAAAGAAACAGAAGAGGATAAAAAGGCACAATGCAGAACTTTGCTGCCACCAGACCCCTCTTCACAACTCAAGACGCTGCTATTTATTACTAAACTTTGTTTATAGTTACACAGACACTCTCCCACCCACATGGCAATGTTTCATTCAAGACAAGTTCGAATTCCCTTCAAGAACAACTATTTCAAAGGATCCCAAAAGCATTTGTTTACAAACAGCACGCACGGAGAATTTGACTAACCCACCAATGAAACACGGTCTCCTCCAAGACAGCAAGAGGCAGCTGTTTCATAGCGCCCAACGCTACTCAACAGCTGAGGGACAGGAAACGAACAGCAGACAACTGATATTGCAGAGGAAATTTATGGAAAATGAGGGCTGTAGACTTCTATTTGCCTGGAGAGAACGGGAAAGCTTTTTTGAGCACTCAAGCTCTTCTCTGGTTCAGGAGGAATTTAAGGAGGCAAAGCGTCCCAGACTGTGGTCAAAGGAATAACTCCTAATTTCAAGCCTCATCTGAAAGCTGGCACCTCCAGAGCTAACAGGAACCTGGGCACTGAGATAAGTTGGCTGCAAAGGGGTGAGCACCCCCTACTGAGGCAGCCACACGGATTTCCATCCAAGCACTGAACAGGCCCAGCCCTGTTTAACTTTCAGAACGAGCCAAGATCACAGCCTAGGGAGGTATTTGGCTGCAATAGGAAGACACTAGGAAGACTATAAAACTGAAAGCCTTTTGCAGGCCCAGCCTCCATACACAAGACCTACTGTAAACACTAAATCTTATGAGGGGAAAAAAACCCAGAGGAAGAAGGATCATGCAACTCTGTCAAATACCAAAGTGCTAGGAATGGTGAAGGGTCACATGCTGTGGAAGCCAAGAGGAGCTACGTTCCCAAGACAGAACTGGAGCTCCTGAAAAGAGCTGGAGAAGAGTCAGACGTAGGAAGACGACCCTGGGCAAAACAGAGCCCGGACAAAGGGTTCTACGTTAAATTGAGTTCATTTGGGACTCGTTCCCCAGAACAGATGCTGACTTCACACAGGTGGGAGACAGCAGAGGCTCCTCGGAAAATCAGTCTGTACAATCCTCCAAACAAGAAACAGAGAGCAACTCCTCACCTCCAAACAATCACGCATGATGGAAGGAGCCAAACATTGCCACAAAGAAGCAATGAAAATAAGGATGTTGAAGGAGAACTGCCCCAGATGATACAGGATGCGAGGCAGGACTGCTCACCTCTTCCATACAGACCCATCCCAGACATCAAGCAGAGGACATCCTATCCCTGTACGCACCCTCCTCTCAGAGATGGGGTACATGTGGGGAGCTCTCATCCACTTTGCACAGAGATAGGGAAGGAGAAAGCTAGTTCCTTTTATACATCCTTCCTAAGGATGAGGTGGGGAGAAAGAAGCTGCCATTTGCACTCCCCAAAATAGAGATACCAGAACAAAACTTCTCCTAATCCCCTCCCTGCACAGGGTTTATGGAGGGAGCACTGCCTTGTTCTCTCCACCACAAAGGGTGCAAAGGGCACTGTCCCCAGACAGGCACAACAGGAGATACCCAGGCCCTTTAGATAGGGCGTACAGGGGGAATGACAATCCCCAGTAGGACACACAGGGGGATGCCACTGCTACATACCTCCAAGGTGGGGTGCACCATGAGGTATGCTCTCAGACAAGGGGCTGTCCCGCACACAGTGAGCAGGGGGATCCCCAGATGGGGTGCACAGCACGATGCTGTTCCCTAGCTGCCCTCAGACAGGGTACATGGGGGTTCCAGCCCCACAGAAGATGAAATGGAGAATACTGCTTCCAGTCCTCCACAGGCAAATTAGAGGAGCAGCTTCCCCCCCAACAGTGCACTTAGAGGGGGGCCTCTCCCCAGATGCAGCAGGAAGGGGCTATCAACCCCAGGGGAGGTGCATGGGGGGGGGGAACCATCACCAGTCCCCCCAGAGACGAGGCAACGGG